TAATAGATGATTATTCCAAAAAGTTATGGGTTTTTATCCAGAAGACTAAGGATGAATTTTTTTTGAGAATTTCAAAAGTTGGAAAACTCTGGTCAAAAATCAAACTGGCAGAAAGGTCATGAGGTTGAGAACCGACAATGGCCTTGAATTTTACAATGAGGATTTCGACAACTTTTGGGCTGCCTCTAGTATTGCAAGGCACAGGACTACTACAGGCACTCCACAACAAATTGGTTTGGCTAAAAGGTCTAATCAAACTATTTTAGAGAAAGTTAGATGCATGTTAACTAGTGCTGGGTTAAAGAAGGTGTTTTGGGTTGAGGCTGTTTCGACAGTAACATATCTGATAAAAAATGTCCTTCAACTGTGTTAGATATGAAGACACCTGAAAAAGTTTGGTCGGGACATCCACTAGATATCGATAAACTGAGAGTATTTGGCTGCGTAGCCTATGCTCACATTAGGCAAGACAAGGTCGAATCTAGAGCTCTAAAATGCATGTTCATGGGATACCCCAAAGAAGTCAAAGCTTATAGACTATAGTGCCTAGAGCCAGGTCACAGGAGGTGTATTACCAGTCGAGATGTAATTTTCAATGAAGCTGAAATGGATTTCAAGAAAACTGATGATGTTGGTCGAAGTGCACAAATATTTGACGAAGAGATAGAACAAGGAGAAATTCCTGTTGAGGTGGAGCATATTGATGCTGAATTGCGTATCCCAGATGAAGTCGAAGAAGAAGTAGAAGATACTAAGGAAGTTGAGGAAACTGTCGATGACTAACTATTATCAAGAGATAGGTCGATGAGAGTCATCAAGCCACCTCAGAGACTTAGGTATGCAGATCTTATAGCTTATGCCTTAATCTTTGCAAGTGAGGTTCTAGACGAAGAACCTAGAGACCATAAGGAAGTTATGAGGAGTCGAAATAAGGTTGAATGGCTGAAGGTCACGGATGATGAGATGAAATCTCTTCATGATAATAATACTTGGGAACTTATCAAAAAATCTGCTGGAGCAAGGTTAGTCAACTATAAATGGATTTTCAAAGTTAAGAAAGGAATTGAAGGAGTGGCGTCGAAAAGGTACAAGGTAAGGTTGGTTGCAAGGGGTTTCACTCAGAAAGAAGGTGTCGACTTTAATGATGTGTTTTCTCCTGTTGTGAAGCACGGGTCCATTCGAATGTTGCTTGCCATGGTGGTACAGTTCGACCTTGAATTGGAACAAACAGATGTGAAATTTGTGTTTTTGTATGGTGATCTAGATGAAACAATCCTGATGATGCAACCTGAAGGGTGTATCGAAAAGGGAAAGGAAGATTAAGTTGAATAGATCTTTAAAAAGGCTGAAACAATCTCCTCAACAGTGAAATGGGATATTCATAAGTTCATGGCACACATAAGTTTCGTTAGAAGTCAGGTCAACCACTGTGTTTACTTCAGATTCCGTTCTGGTAACTTTTTTATTATTTTGTTACTTTACATTGATGATATTCTCATAAAAAGCAACAATGTTGAAGATGTAATGAGGGTAAAGGATGAACTCAATAAGGATTTCGAAATGAAGGATTTTGGAGTTGTATCCTAGATTCTTGGGATTGACATTTGAAGAGATAGAAAGTAGTCGAAATTATGCTTATCTCAAAAGGCATACCTACGGAAGATTCTTAGCAAGTTTGGTATGTTGAAATCAAAGCCTATTGTAACTCCAATAAACCCTCAATTCAAGCTGAGTATATATTAGTGTCCCAATACTGAGGTCGAAAGAGCTTATATGAATAGCATCCCATATGCTAACATAGTGGATTCTTTGATGTATGTTATGATCTGTACTAGACCTGACATAATATATGCAGTAAGTCTTGTAAGCAGATACATGGCGAATCCTGGAAAGGCTCACTGGAAAGTATTGAAGTAGATTCTAAGGTACATAAATGGGTCTATGAACAGAGTCTTAATTTATGGTGGAGCCTTGGGTGAAGATAGTAAAGCAGTAATCGAAGGGTATGTCGACTCTGATTATGCAGGTTGTATGGATTCCAGAAAATCTATTTCTGGATATGTTTTCACTATGTTTACCACAACAATTAGTTGGAAAGTAACACTTCAGAAGGTTGTTGCCTTATCAACCATTGAAGCAGAATATATTTCCCTCACTGAAGCTGTGATAGAAGCATTGTGGCTTGAAGGTTTTGCTAAGGAGCTAAAAATTTAAGGTCAAGTTATCACTGTTAAATGTGATAGTCAGAGTGCAATACACGTGTCAAAGAATTCAGTCTATCATGAGCGAACCAAGCACATCGATGTGAGGATGTATTTCGTGAGAGGGGTAATCCAGCGTGGAGAAGTCCAGGTGTTGAAGGTTTCGACAGGTCACAATGTTGCTGATATGATCACCAAGATATTACCTAGTTGCAAGTTTTTCCATTGTATGTAGTTGATAAAGCTGCATGAAGAAAGCTAGGTTGTTCTTTGATATTACAGTTTGTTCTAAGGTGGAGATTTGTGAGATATTTGATCGAACTCTATTGAGTCGAAGAGTAGCTTCTGGTTTGATTGGATGTATACATGTCGTCGAAGTATGTTCACATACTGGTATCGAAGACCTACATACTGTAGTCGAAGTGTGTTCTAGTATGTGAGTGTCGAAATGCTAGGGTTGTTGGTATTTCGAATTGGACCTGTTTGTTATGTCCAATTGTTTGGGTTAACTTGTAACTTAAGTTACCTTGTAATGGGTATTTATGAAATAGCTCATTAGTTTAGTATGTTAGATTTATTATAAATAGCATATTAGTCTCTCATCATTGCATACTGCAAATCCTAATTTAGGGTGAGAGAAGTTATTTGTTATTGTTGAGTACTTTAAATTTGACTTAAAGAGAAAGTAAAGAATAACAGTTATAACCAATTCCTTGTGTTATTCTTGTTTTTCCATCTTTTCTATCCTAATTGTTTCTTGATCATAAAGAAATCATTTATATTTTGTTTCAAAGGTATCATTTTCACAACAGAAAAAGTTTTTGTGAAGCATATTTTAAGTGAAAGAGATGTGTGACTCCCTTTCTGTCTAACTATGTATCATTTGTATGATTTTTAATTAAATAAGAGTTGTGAGGTTTTATTGTGCTACACAGAAGCCACAATATACTTCTCTAAGAAGGACACAACTGGCATCCTTCCTCGCAATGATGACACCAGGCTAAAAAGCCTTCTCATAAACTACGAAAGTGAAATTTTGTTTTATGTAAGACAAATGTTGGACATGATGTCTAAGCCAGTGTGTTCAACATCTTATACCAGATTTAACAGATAATAGAAAATAAGATGATAAATGATAAAGCATTAAAAAACACAAGAAATTGGTAACCTAGTTCGGTTCAATATCACCTACGTTTGAGGGGCTTTCAACATAAGAAAGGGAATTCACTCTCAATATTATTAGTACACAAAGTGAGGACGAACATGTTGAACCCCGACAAACTTTCACTCCCCCCCGTCTCTCTTTTATATTTTGTTTAGAATTGTAGGTTTAGGTTTAAAGTTTTCTCATAAATGACACGTTTTAGATTTTACCACATTCGTAGCTATTTTGTGTATAATAATTAGGCCGGTGTTAGATCAAAATTCTAAACATTCTCACTTCTAATTAAATTTAAAAAATATATTAAAAGATTTCTTATTCAACTGAAAAGTTTCAGTTTACATTGATTTGATCTCTTCATATATCGCTCATTTTGTATCTAGTTTAATTGTATACTACGATGAATCAAATATCATATATTTTGCAGGAAAATTTTGCTATGCCTACCCATTTTCATCGAGATCTGACTTTAAAAAATAAAAAATTTAAATTGGTCTTTTTGAGAATGAGCTATTCAACCCCCTCCCCCTTTAAAGATGGTGGCTTTTTCTTATCAATTTTTGCAAGGTAGACTCACTTCTAAGGAGAACTTGTTCAAAAGGGGAGGGGTGATTCTTGATACTAATGGGATCTCTTGTCCCATGTATGGTGGGTTACTTGAGTCAGTATCTCATATTTTTTTCCACTTGTTAGTTAGCTTTGACTATTTGGTATAAGATATTTTTTTCCACTTGTTAGTTATTCCTAGTGATTATAGACTTCTATTTGAGTTTTTTCTCTCTCTCTCTCCAAGCGATAGGGCTAAGTCTAGGGATAATATTTTTATGTTTTGGCATATCGTTGTCGGGTCAATTTAGAGAATTTGTTATGATGATATTTTTAACCGTGTTCCAACAACTGTGAAAGAAAAATGGAAAAGAAGAGTATTTTTTTTAGTTCAAAAATGATTTCTAAATAAAATAGAGGTGTATACTTTTTCTAACTGACTTGAAAACTCTATCATCTACCTTAATATATATATATAGTGGATCGAGTCCTTTTCTTGATTATGAGATTGGTAATTCTGGTTGTGAATTTATAGTTCTCCCTTGACGGCCTCATCTATTGATGGTAATTTTACGAGTCAAGGATCTAACTTGAATCCTATGGATGAGATTTTAGTTTTCTAATGTGAGATTCATATGCGTGTTTAGTTGTTTTGGTACATTTGCCGTTAAATTTTTTTTTAAATTTTGCTAGCCATTTTGAAAACCCAAAAAGTGTTACACTAATCATTACATATGTAAAGTCCATTCTGTGTTAAGAATATCCCAAAAATAACGTTTGACTAAATAATAAGTACTTTTTATTTTCATTCTATTTTAGGAAAAATAAACCGTTTCTAGACAAGGTGAGAGATAAGAGGTTGAGTTGGAACAAACATGATTATCCATCTATATGATCAACCATTGGTTGTAAACAAAAACTTCCATAATCCGTTGACAAATTCTTCTCTCTCTTGGTTTGGTGTGGTTTGATGCATGTGTAGTGCCACTTGTGATCAACCACGTCTCCTTTATTATTATCCATAAGAAAATTTCATTGGACTTGAATTGAGCTAGGGTTTGATATTGTAGCATTTTTTTTGGTGAGAATCAATGGGATCGTGTCTCTCAGGAGCTTCTTCAGCTCCTTCTCCTCATAATAATTATCATGATTCTTCTTCTTCTTCATCTTCGAGAAGAAACTATTCGCGTGATTCGAGTGCGGAAATGAGGTTGCACAGAGTTCCTGGAAGAGTTTTCTTGAATGGTTCATCTCCTTTTGCGTCGTTGTTTTGTAGACAAGGTGGCAAGGGTGTAAATCAAGATGCAATACTTCTTTGGGAGGTATTACAAAATTCACGATATTATTTATCTTCATTCTTCTATGTAATATGCTATTTGATCAAATAATGAATGGATTTTTCAGATGTTTGGTGATGCGGATGATACTGTATTTTGTGGTGTGTTTGATGGACATGGACCACATGGACATGTGGTTGCGAAGAAAGTTAGAGATTGTTATCCTTTAAAGATAATGGAGGAATGGAATTCACGTCGCCGCGGTGATGATGATGATGGTGGTAAAACTAGTAACAATAACAAGGATGATATTTTAAAGATGATGAGAGAATTGTTTTTGATGGCGTCTAAGTTTGTGGACAAAGAACTCAAACTTCATTATGCCATGGAATCTTTTGGAAGTGGGACTACAGCTGTTACATTGTTCAAGAAGGTATGCATGCTATTTCATTTCAATAAATAAACATTCATTGAAGCATTCCTCACTCATTCTTCTTGTTTCAGGGCCAAGAACTAGTAACAGCAAACGTAGGAGACTCTAGAGCTGTTTTAGCAACCCTAGATTCAAATGGTTCTCTTAAACCACGTCAGTTGACGACCGACCTCAAACCAAATCTTCCAAGTATGTTATAATCTATTCATCGCATCTTCTTGTTGCATGCACAATATAATCTTCTTCTTTATCTACTTTCCTTGTGTGTTTATTAGGGGAACTCGAAAGAATAAGAATTTGCAAAGGAAGAGTTTTCGCTCTCAACAACGAATCAGATGTTGCTAGAGTTTGGCTACCAAAAGTCGATTCTCCAGGCCTAGCCATGTCGCGTGCTTTCGGTGACTTTTGCCTTAAGAACTTTGGACTCATATCTGTCCCTGAAGTTGCCTATCATCGCCTCAATAACCAAGACCAGTTTGTTGTCTTGGCCACAGATGGTATATGGGATGTTCTGTCTAACAAAGAAGTTGTCAACATTGTGGCATCTGCTCCACGAGCTTCTGCGGCTAAACAACTTGTTGAATCAGCTGTTCAAGCATGGAAGACGAGGCTTCCAACTTCTAAGCTTGATGATTGTTCTGCAGTTTGCCTCTTCTTTCATCCAAACACCAATAATACCCCTAAGAGAAACACTAGTACAACTGTGGGAGAGAAAGGAGTAATAGAATCACATGACAAAACAAAACAAAGGCACCAATAGCAGATGATGTTCATCTCTCAATCTTCACTCTTTTTTTATTAAGGTTGGGAGTTTTAGTTTTGTTGGTTTTTCTTTTAATAGTCTTTTCATCATTAGTTTTGTGTGTATAGTTGATAGGTTATGTGGATTTTTTTGTAAATCCAAGACTCTTTTTTAGACATTTTTTTAGTTTATCAACACACTTTCTTTTGTATTGTTTTCTTAGTTTACAAACATTTAGCGGTTTAACATGCATTATAGAAAAATTGAATTCGTTGGATATAGGTACCATAGTAAAAAATGTTTTGAAAATATCCTAAAATTAGATTTAAACCAGCATGATTCGCGGTTGTTAATTAATTTTTATTTGTTTCGTATTGAATTTTAATTATGTTAAAAAAATTTAGTAAATATGGATCACAAATTTATATTATAATAATTTATTATGAATTATAATCGAGACAATTATTTAAATTAATTACAAATAAAAATTTACATTTTATTTAAAAGAAATTTTGTTTATGTAAGTTGAAAGTGGCATACAAAATTTTATCTTATAAATTTAAATAATTTTAAACGATAACGATAACAATTTATATTCTATTTTAATTCTAATATATTTTTTAAAATTTGTCTCTCTTTTATATATTTAATTATAAGCTAATTATATGTAATTATCTTTAATTTTAAATATAAATTAAATTTTATTTTCAGTTATTACCGAATAAACATTCAATAACTTTACAAATTTATGTCTATAACATCAAATTGAGAGTGTTGTATTTTCTATTATATTTTTACATCAATTGAGAGTAATTTAATTCTGAAAAATTGCGGAATACATGCTTTAACATTAAAAATATTTTTAAGTGTTGTTTTTGTTGTATGATTTCAAAAAAATAAAAATAAGGATATTATAAAGGAATATTTAATTAAAAATGATCAAGAATCTCTTTATTTTAAATATTAAAATAAGGATGAATTATTGTAAAGGGTTGAACTCCAAACTATTTATTAATATGCAAGAAAAGAATATATATGATTTTTGCGATATATTTTTAAAATTAAACGTTAAATTTAATATCGTCATAAATGATAGTACTATTTATTTAAAACATATGATGAATAAGTATCATCTCATTATTTTTTTTTCAAAAAATTAAAAGATTCTAAAATTATATTAAAAATACTAAGAAAAAAATATATCAAAATATCTTTTGTTTCTTTTTTATAATTAAAAAATTATTTTAAGACAACTATGAATAGTATTCTATAAAGATTATGAAAATAATATATATGGGAAAATTAGTTCTATGTTGAAAAATGACTTGTTGAGATATAATTCAAATTGAATTATATTTGTTTAATAATGTATTACATTAAAATAGTAATAATAAGTTTATTGTGAATAAATTAATTTGATATTTTTTGAAATAATAAAAGTTAATAAATAAATATTATATTATTGTATTTTTGCATTTGCAAGGATTCGAATCCATGAATTTCTATAGAGAGTAACAATATATTTTAAACTTTGAAAATTAAAAATAGATTATAAGAGATGTCACGTAGAAAAATAAATGATGTGATATAAAAAAGAGCTAAAATATTCTAATATAGAAGTTGAAGTGTTGCAAGATAATTTAATGTATTAGATTTAATAGATATAAATAGACAAATAAATTATATGATCTAATATATAATTAAATATTGATAAAATAAAATATTATTAGATGATTAATCAAAAGTTCAATAACTTAATTTCCACTTATGATAGATATTTTATAATATCTAACAATAAAATATACTAAACGACTTATAACATGCTTTAGAAAGGCTTCAATTGCATTCACTACTAGGAAAAAACCGTATCTGTCCCGATCCTAGTCAGAAAACTCTCATGGTCCAAAAAATAGATCCTAGCCAGAAAACTCTCATGATCCAAAAAACTATAAACATTCTTTTCTGATAGCTTGTTATTACAATCCTAATCCATTACTGTTAAAAAATACTTTGACTGAAATGGTTTTTACCTCAATTGAAGTGTTGTGATAATTTAGGATGTTATGGAATGTGCGTCATTTTTTCTTTTAAGTTATTGGCAGGTGTGAAAAACTGAAAAGTGTGTCATTCTCTTCTTAGTTAGGAGGTTAACTGAGCATAAATTTCTCACTTTTCCTCTAAATTGAGTTAATTGAAGGGATAAGGTTTAAGAGACCACTTTTATTAGGGGGTGTTCACGGTGTAGTTTGAATAATTTTAAAGTAAAAAATCATTCAAACCATAATAGAAAAAAACGTGTGATTTAATTAACTTTTAAAAATAAAACTAAATTAAATCAAATTAGTGCGGTTTAAATTGATTTGGTTGATTTAATTTATAAAAAAAAACTATTGAGTCATACATATACATATAGAAGAAAATATAATTATGTGTTTAACCGATCATATATTATTATAAAAAAATTATAATTTATCAAAATAAGTTTATAATTTAATACATAAAATTACGTATTATAATTTTATCTAAAACTAAAGAACGATATATATAAAATTATATTTTTAAATAAATATTATACAAAGAATATAATAAAATATATTTTATAAAAATAATATTTATAAATGGATAATATTTTATTTTTTATAATATATATATATCTAAAGAATTAAAAAAAAATATGTTAGTTATTAAGATTTTATAATACAATACGATTTGATTTGATTTAATTTGATTTGTAAAATATAAATCGTAAATTAAATTGAATCACGCAGTTTCGTTAGAAAATAATTCACACTTATTAGAACTAAATATGATTTTTTATAATTTTAATTTAGTTCGGTTCGATTTTACGATTTTTTATTACTTCAATTTGATTTTGAATAGTCTATTTTTCCCATCAATTGACACTATTAACCACTATGAAACTCTTGTATATTAAAAATACTTTTTAAGTTTACATGTTTTTGGTTATAATTATCCAATAAAAACTAAAGCATTAAAAAAGATATTTATTTGAGCAGAGAATTTACACCTGTCAAGAAAGCTAGTAACCATCCAGGAAATTATAATCAAATAGAAAATATATTTTAAAAAGTGTATGAAAAAACCAAAACATAAATACAAGTTCAATAAAATGTTTTCACCCCTGCTACATTTGCGAATCATAAAAGGTACTGTAATAAAGAATAAATGGGAAATTCAACTTATCTCACATTTTAGATATGTCATTTATTGTCCTATGTCATAGGAAGAGTAAATATGACACTAGATTTTAAGCTAGCAATATAACTTATTATTATAAACACAATATTATCCATATGTTATATCATTTTGTAAGAATATAAATGATAAATGACGATAATGAAAATTAAAAATTACAAAACAAAAGATTATCTAACCTAGAAAATAAAAGAATGAAGAGACTATTGAGACTACTGTATCTAGTTAGATGAACAATGATATATGTGATATGTTTCACAATATAAGTGGATGGCTTTGGAGCACTTTATAGGGTGTGTTCAATTTTCTTAAATTTACCCCATTCTCTTCTACTCGACTAGCATTCAAACACCACTAAGTTAAAAAGTTTCCATATGTTATATCATTTTGTAAGAATATAAATGACAATAATGAAAACTAAATATTACAAAATAAAATATTATCTAACCAAAAATAGAATAATGAAGAGACAATTGCACCTAGCTAGATGAACAATGATATATGCAATATACTTCACAACATAAGTGGATGACTTTGGGGCACCTTTTAGGGTATGTCCAGACTTCTTAAACTTGTCTCATTCTCTTCTACTCGACTCGCATTCAAACACCGTTATGTTAAAAAGTTTCCCTATGTTATATCATTTTGTAAGAACATAAATGACGGTAATGAAAAGTAAAGATTACATGACAAAAGATTACCTAACAAAAAATAGAATAATAAAGAGACAATTGCACCTAACTAGATGAACAATGATATATGCAATATTCTTCACACATAAGTGGATGACTTTGGGGGACCTTTTAGGGTATGTTCAGGTTTCTTAAACTTACCTCATTCTCTTTTACTCGACTTGCATTCAAACACCACTAAGTTAAAAAGTTTCCATATATTATATTATTTTGTAAGAACATAAATGACGATAATGAAAACCAACGATTACAAAACAAAAGATTACCTAACCACAAATAGAATAATGAAGAGACAATTGCACATAACTAGATGAACAATGAGAAATGTAATATACTTCACAACATTAGTGGATGACTTTGGGGAATCTTTTAGGGTATGTTTAGGCTTCTTAAGCTTGCTGCATTCTCTTCTACTCGACTCACATTCAAACACTGCTAAGTTAAGAAGTTTCCATATGTTATATCATTTTATAAGAATATAAATGACGATAATGAAAACTAAAGATTACAAAATAAAAGATTACCTAACTTGAAAAATAGAATAATAAAGAGACAATTGCACCTATCTAGATGGACAATTATATATGCAATATACTCCCTCACTCTCACAATAAATGCAATATACTACTTCACAACATAAGTGGATGATTTCAAGCCACATTTTAGGGTATGTTCAGGCTTCTTAAACTTGTCTCATTCTCTTCTACCTGGCTCACATTCGAACACCGCTAAGTTAAGAAGTTTTTTTTATATGCAAAATTATACTTCCTTTAAGTTTTTTTTGGCAGGTAGGTCCTTTAAGTTTTTTTTTGTAACAACTTGGTCCTTTAGGGTGATTTCAACATCATTTTTCTCACATTTTGAACATTTAGAAATTTGTGACTGTTGTATTTCTAGTTGTACTTCATCATTTTCATACCACTCAAAATTATTACATCCACAATTAGCACATTCACCCTGTTAAAAAGGGTAACAATGTGCTTGTTTGGTAACTTGAAGGACCAAGTTGTTACAAAAAAAATTAAAGGAGTAACCTATTACAAAAAAAAACTTAAAAGACCTCTGGTACAATTTTACCTTTCCTATATTTGGAATGAACAGTTCAACCTT